ATTGCCACCCCCTGAAAGCCACATTCTGAATGATAGACATAGGGGACTGGGTTACTTTCAATGTACTTGGCATGGGAAGACTACAGTGTCTATGCAGTTGCCCCGCCCAGTGCCTATGCAGTTGTCCTTGCGGGGTACCATGCAGCATGTAAGTGCATGGCACTGTGGTGCCTGGCTCATGGTGGCTGTCCTCAGCCAGCTGGGCACAGGGGGCTCCCTGCCTCAGGATGTCTGCATTGAAATGCTTTGCTGCATGCGCATTTCTCACAACTAGGGTGTTTTGTGTCTGTGGGCTGGACTTTGTCATGTGCCATTTGAGACTCAGAGGCTGATGTCATACTTTATCATTAGCACTTGGGCTGATGCAAGACCATAAATTATCAATTACCCCAAGGAATGCCTTTAGCAGACCCAGTCCCTCTCTGTTTTAGGGAAGGGCTCACTAGGGAGATTAAAAAAAAGATTTGACGTTTTCCTCTTACTTTTCCCAGAAGAATGAGTACTGAGGTCTGATCAAGATAAAATATGCTGAGCAGTACGTGGCCTGGGTCTCACTGAACCCTCTTAATTTTTAGAGTAATATTTTCGTGTCCATCATATAAATAAAAGCCCATGGCACACAGTCAAATGTGGAGTTCTGCTCTGTGTGTGCTGTCTTGATCCACTGAAAATGATTGGAATATTGAATGGCTTTCCCACTATGTAAAATAATTATGCCTGCTAATGAGCATTGATGTAACTTTGGGTTTTAAAATGTTCAGTGGCTATCCTTTTTGACAGTCCTTTTTTTTTTTTTTTTTTTTTTTTTGGTATGTGCATGTGCAGTCATGAAGGGCTTTTCTATAGAGAAAAGCCATCTCCTTTTAGCAGCAGCTGTTTTTGCAGGTTACTTGGGAGGCAAGTTGTTCAGCTGTGCTTCTGAAGGCTCACAGGGAGGGTGTGACTTTCCCAGGGAGAGTGTGCTCAGAGTGGGCAAAGGGCGTTGTTTGCGTTATTGGATCATGTGTGCACAGCTTTCTTGGCCTGCCCTTTGAGGAAGAGAGACCCAGGCTTAGTTCTGAAAGAACCTGGCTGATTTCTGTACAGTAACGCTGGGAGGCTGAGCATGGGTCTGGGGCTCGGACTTCCCAGAAGCTCCCTCTTGGGCTAAGTGGTCACGCCCTTCCCTACCCATGCACTCAGTGCCTCTGGGCCCTGGGTGAAGTCTGGGCACAAGGTCAGGTCCAGTCCTGGTTTGGCTGCATCAGCTAGAACTGTTGTAGAACGCCTTCCGAGTCCCCAAAAGGCATGATCTCTGGTCAGGAAGATATCATCCATCCCTTGGCCATAAGAAATTAGCACCAGAACTGGACAAGATGAAGTTATGATAGAAAAATATAAGACAAGGGGGCTGGGGATTTAGCTCAGCGGCATAAATGCCTGCCTTGCAAGCAGACAGTCGTGAGTTCGATCCCTGGTACTGGTAAAAATGAAAAAGACAAAAAAAAAAAAAAAAGAAAAAGAAAAATATAAGACATTGCCATGAGTCTCCCTTGAAATCCTCGCTCTGGCTTCCAACACATTTATCCCATCATTCTTATCATTTTTTTGGAGCTGTTCTGGAGTCCTCTTTCCTCAAGTGTCTTTAGTTGTCCTGTCATCACTGCCTCATTGTCTTGAATTGCCTCAAAATGTTTATCTTCTGTGGTCATTTTTACTTTGGGGAAGAGCCAGAAGTCATGTGGTGCCAGAACTGGTAGGACACAGCATTGTATTTTTATAAACCTGTCCTCCTGTTGGATGGCACTTGGCAGCACATGGATCGTATTTTTCACCACTCATCATAAAGACAAATGTGTAAGAGGACTTCCAGAGTGGCTTCAGAATGTGGCAAGAATGATGGGCCTGTGTACATGTGTTCAAATCTCTTGGGAGAATCTTTTGTTATTTTGAGAGGGATTAATAGCAATGTGTTTTTACTGTGATAAGTTAAAATTAAGCATGCATTATATATTTTGATCTTACCTTGGATTCTTGGGAAGACAGGCAGGGAGGTGGACTAGTGAGGGTGTGGATAGAGGTGACCTTTAATAGACAAGGAGTCAGACCTGGACAGAAAGGGACCTGTGAAGTGGGGGGAAGATGACAAGGTCCTCCTTTAGGGACAATAACCAATCAAGGGTGAGGAGACAGAGACAAGGGGCTTGGTGCCACTCCTGGAGGAAGGACCCTGGCGATGTTTTTAAGTGAGAGCAGAAAAGGTTAGTGATGGTGGCATGGTGGGCATTGCTGGCAGCTGTGGCAGGAGGGCATGGCAGGGCCCTTGCAGGTGTCCCAAGATGCTGCAGACAGAAGCTCTCATCCAGCCACTCACTGGGGGGGTGCCCTGAGTGTGCCCTGCCTTCCATCCTCCCTCAGTGTGGTTATGCTAGAGTGAATATTGTTCACACATGTGCTCAACTTCACACTTCCTGTTTTCACATCAGACATCAGGACAGTGGCCAGAGAGGTCGGGCATCATGCCCTGGGTCACAGCCCCTGTGTGGCAGAGGTGGGATGGGGACCCAGGCAGGTGGCTGTGTGGAGCTGGTTTTGTGCTGATCTTTTCTAGAGAGCATCCAGTGAGACTCTGGTGCATTTCTGGTTGTTCTCTCCCACATGCATCACACACACAGGCCAGTGCACAGCCCGCTCTGAGATAGAGCCACTCCTGAACACTCTCTGTGTACATCCCATACCTCAAACCCCCCAGATACCCCACGTGGCCAGTGAGGCTGTTGGTGATGATCATGTCAATCAGGGCGACAGTGACAGAAATACAAAGATCTGTGTTGCCTGGATGGGCACCCCTGCCCAGAGAATGTAGACAGCGAGATGGGTAAGAATGAGATGGATGACCTCAGGATGGTGATCCTCGCTTACCTTTCCTCCTCGTAGCAAGTGCAGATCTGGCACCTGTGGGCCAGTGTTTGAAAAAAGCATAAATGAACTTAAATATTCTCTAACACAGTGCTTCCTGGGATCTTTAGTGCATAACTGTGCTGCTCCAGGATCACTCACTGCAGGTGATTGTTTTAAAGTATTGGAATTCCCCCTTCTCCCCCAGTACTAGGGCCAGAACCCAGGTCTCATGCAGGCGAACAATTCTTATGGGGACCTGGGAGTCACAGATGGCACTTGCTGGCCTCGTCCATGTATGATCTTCGTTCCATACCCTGTGCTGTTGGCCGGCTCTCACCCCAGCTCTGAGATTTTGTAGAGCAGAGAGCTGGTGTTTCAGAGGTATGTTTTATCTCTGAGTCATCAGAGGCAATGTCGTTGTCCCCAGGGCATCCAGGTCATGCATGAGGTCATGGTGGAAAGCGTTGGATTTGGGGAGCTGGGCAGTGGCAGAATTGGGGTTTGTTCCAGCAGAGATTGGAGAGATTGGGACAGAACTGGCTGGGTGGTGACCTCAGACCCAGAGCCAGGGACTCCTTGCTCATCGACTCTTGCTAAAAGGCGTCGGCAGGCAGATGGTTTTTTTTTTTTTTTTTTTTTCCTTTTTCCTTTTTATCAGTACCGGGGATCGAACTCACACGACTACCTACTTGCAAGGCAGGCTCTTATGCCGCTGAGCTAAATCCCCAGCCCCCAGGCAGATGGTTTTGAAGTGCATTGCCAGCAGTGTGCTCTGTGTGTGTGGAGTGGGCATGAGGTCTGCCTGGCACTCCCAAGGCTGTTTCCGTCTTCCTGGGTGAAGAATACAGCCTCCTGGGAACACTGCCTTCCTCCACCTGAGGATGAGACAGTGATGCCCCTGGGAGAAGAGTAGCCATGGGGGCGATCTGCATGAAGCACTGAGCTCTGTGCATGCTGATTGCACATTGAAGCCACTGTTAGCATCATGGAGAACAGGTTGGACCACACCATGGGACAGCCAAGAATGTGGAGGCAGAGCCAGGCCTGGGTGGTGGCCCACACCCCTGATCCCAGGTCTCTAGGAAGCTGAGGCAGGAGGATCACAAGTTCCAGCTCAGCTCAGGCAAGTATAGTGAGACACTGCCTCAAAAAATTAACAAATAAATGCAAATAAAGAAGGGCTGGGGATAGAAGTCAGTGTGAAGACCCTGGGCTCACTGCCTAGTACTACAAATAAAATAAAATAGCACGTAATGAAATAAAGAGGAGAAGGAACAAACATCAGTGGCCAAATCGGATTCACTAGGAGAAAGCAGTACAGATCCAGAACATGTTACATGAGAAGTAACAGGAAAATAGTATATGAACATGCTAGTCAGGAGCAAGGACATTAAAGTTACTCAAGAGTGTACTAAAAAGAAAGGAGTATTAAATAAGGAAAAAACAGAAAAGCACGGAGCTCGAGCACCATTCTCAGCATGCAGCAGTAAGCCTGGCTCTCAGCAGCTGCCCCAGTGCTAGGAGTCCACGTCCAAGTCCTGAGCATGGAAGACTCGGCAATGGCCCAGGTTGGTGGACAATGCTTTGTGACCCCTGTGCGGAAATGAGGAGGTGCTTGGAAGTGAGGGGCTGCGGGCTGGCCTTGTGCTGGCAGACGCACAGGGCACTTCAGAAGCCTTTGCCATGGTGCTTCCTGCACCTGGGTCCTGACTGTGCTCCTGGAAGGACCGAATGGGGCCAGCAGCTTTGGGAACTGTGGGAAGTAGAAAGGGACTAGGACACCTTCACAGAAGCAGCTGTCCTTTAGACACTTTGGGAATCGCTGTCCCCGCTTCATGTCCTTTGACTCATGAACCTTGCTGCCCTCATACCCCCTCCTGATGTGTTGCTGTGTCCCCTCTGCTAGATGTTGCTTCCTTCCCTTCCCTCCACTCAGTGTCAGCTCTTGTGCCCCCCTTACCACTATCCCCCAGGGCTGAACCCTGTCACTATAACCCCAGATCTGTTTCTTCTATTCCGGCACTGGCCGATGGAGAGAGAGTACTGCTGTCCCTGGCACTTGTGCCACAGACAGAGAAAAGGAAGGAGTGAGTCCTGAGCTTCCGGCTTTCTATTGGCAGGGTGGAGGACCACGATGACCTCATGCCGATATTTATGCGCCACGACACCGTTCTGAAGGACACGTATGGCGAGTACTTCCTGGCTGAGCTGATAGAGGCCCAGGACCAGGAGAACCATGCTGTAGTGTGCGAGGTTGGTGACTGATCCCCGGGACTCTATTGGTAAGGGAAATCAGCTCCCTGGCTCCTGGTACTTCAGGCTCTGTAGAGTGTATGGAGCTGTATCCCCCCTGTCCTTGACCTTTCAGGTGGCCTCCAGGCCCCCCAGAGGTCGGGGCTTTAGGCTTCATTGTCTGGGGACCTCTGAATGCCCAGGCTGCCTGGCAGGTTTTTGCTGAATCTCTAGCGGTAGGGGTTAAAGTTGGGGGACAGGGAGTGGTCTTCTAGGGGTGGTCAGGAGGATTTCTGAAGGTCCCAAGAGGTCAGAGATCACAAACAACATTCTGCTGACGGACAGACTTTGACTTGAGTGATTTTTTTTAACATTTATGTTGATACAGTTTCATACTTACAGAAAATTTAGAAGTACCTAGATTTCCTAAATGTTAGCATCCTACTCTATTGGTTTTGTCACTCTCTTACTCTTCCTAATTTATCTGGATTAAGCATATTCTAATTAATTTGAGAACCATTTGAGAGTCACACACCTCATTCCCATTTACTTCTAAATAAATTCAGTTATCAAAGTTGAGCAGTCATGGCCCCTACTGTCTCGCCTGCAGACCTTATTTGGATTTTATGCATAGTCCTGATGGTGTCATTGTGGCCAAAGTAAGTCCAGGTCAGTCATGGCAGTCAGGTGTCCTGTCTGGCGAGGGCCTTTTTTTCTTTTTTTTTAAAGGAGGGCATGTTTATTTATTTAATTTTATGAATACACATTTTCAGTACATGATGTTTACATTTATATTCAGTGTCCTTTAATCTGGAATGTCTCCTTGGTTTGTCATCACCTTTCATGATAATGACATTTTTGAAGGAAATTTTGTAGAATGTCTCTTAATTTGGGTTTCTTCAATGTGAGCTCGTGATTTAATCTAGGTTATATGTGATGAAATTTTGTTGAATTAACAGCTAATATAAAAATTAGGAAAGTATATACAACAACAATTAGAATTTTTAGCTTTTCTGACAAGTCTGAAAACCTGATATTTTGGGCCTAAAGGTCAGAACCTATACTGTTGTGTTTGGTGTGGTAGCCCAGTGGCCCATGTGCTCTAAGAGACAGAGAAGAGAGCTAATGAGCTGTACAGGTGACCAGGGGCACAGGGCTGGTCCCAGACTCTCTCGGCCCTCTGTCACCAACGCCACACAAGACACCCACCCTGGGGTGCTCCCCCCCCCATGGAACCTCAGTGCTCAGTGGACCCCTTCTCTGCATTTGCCCAGCAGGATTTGTAAAGAAGTCCCTAATTCTGACAGTCAAGCCTCCTGCACAGGGGTCTGTCCTTCAGCAGGCCTGGTGACTGTGGGTCTGCTGCCACCGGTCTTCCTGGACAGCAGCGTGGGGGCAGACCTCCCTCTCCTGCTTTCCACTCAGAGCTCTGGTGTGCAGAGTATGTTGTGGTCGGGGCTGGGGATTTAGCTCAGCGGCATAAGCGCCTGCCTTGTAAGCAGGCAGTCGTGAGTTCGATCCCTGGTACCGATAAAAAGGAAAAAGACAAAAAAAAAAAAAAAAAAAAATTGTTCAGAGTATGTTGTGGTCATGTGGGGATTGCCAAGATGAAACGCTTATTCCATAGATCCAGTATGCACTAATACAAAAGATGCAGAAAAAGAAAGAAAAGAGTAGAGAATGCTACCCATGTTTATTGCAGCATAATTCACAGCAGTGAAGATACAGAACCAGCTGAGCGCCTGTCAGGAGATGAAGAGATAAAGGAAATTCGGTGCCCATACTCGGTGGAGTATTGTTCAGCTGTAAAGAATGGAATCATGCCCTTTGCAGAAAAATGGATGGAACTTGAAATCATCCTGTTCAGCAAGATAAGCTGGAAGCAGAGAGACAAATGTTGTTTGTTTTTTTCTAAAGTAACATCCAAAACAAAAAACAAATACAACAAAAACCAATGTAGAGATCGGGAAAGTAAAAGGGAGACTATTATTAGATAAGAGGAAGGGGGCGGGGCATACGGGATCATAACTGGGGAATGGATAGGATTCGAACATGGCATGAAAATGCCACATGAAACCCAATTATTTTGTGAAATTAGTATGTAGTAATAAAATATATTTAAAAAGTTGAGAATGGTGAAATAGAAATATTTGTGGTTTCTGCTCAGTGGTAGGAAGAAACTGACTAAAGATCAGTTGTGACTTTTGAGCCCTCAGAATCATTATGGAGTAGGTGATGACTGGTCAGCAGTTGAAATTTCAGAGCTGTGAGGAGCTGTCTTCTCTTTTCTGTTCTCATGTTTTCCCTCTCTCCCTCCTTTCCCCCCTTCTTCCTTCCTTCCTTCTTCCCTTTCCCTTCCTTCCTTCCCTCCTTCCTCCCTTCTGTACTGGAGATTGGACAACATATGTAGTGTGAGATTTCCTCATTCATCAGGGTTCCTCAGACTTGGAGCACGTGAGATTCACCTGGGAGGCTTTGAGACACCCCCATGCCGAAGACCTTGGGTCCAGGACACACAGAGAACTCTTCTAACAATAATGAGATGAATAATCTGAATAAAATATATGGAAAAAATTTGAAGAGATATTTCTCTAAAAGAAGATAAGTCATCACTAAGCACATGAAGAAGTGCCATTCATTATCTTAAGATGTCAAAATCATTGGCCGTCATGGAAATACAAATGAAAGCCACAGTGAGTTAGCTACCACTTTATGTGCACTGGAGTGATTTTAAGGAATTAAGTGATTTTAAGGACAATAGCTAACCATTGGCAAGGATGTGGAGGGATTGGAGCTTTTGTCCTTGGTTGGTGGGATGATACAGTGGCGTAGCCATTTTGGAAAATAGTCTGGCATTTCCACCAAAAGTTGAATGTAGAGTTAACTTCCAACCAAACCCTTCTGCACTGAGAACTGAAAACACATTTCTGCACAAAGACTTGTACACAGCAACGTTATCCATGATGTCCAAAAAGTGGAACTAGCTCCAAGGTCCATTGACTGAAGGACAGTGAAACAAAGCTGATGGGATATCCTTCAGTGGGAGATGACTAGGCATAAAAGGGCCAGGGACAGGATACATGCTTGTGTTGAACATTGAAAATGTGACACCAACGGAAAGAAGCCAGGCAGAAAAACCACAAATTGTACCATGATCCAGCCAACTAAATCAACCGTTTGGGGTGAAGCATAATCAGGATTTTTAAATATATATATATATATATATATTTAGTTATTTAGTTATTTATTTATTTATATATTGAGACAGGATCTCACTGTGTAGCCCAGACTGCTTCAGCCTGGCTCAGCAACCTCCTACCTCAACTCCCAATGTCTGGGAAGACAGGTGCATCCCAGTGTGCCTGAGCAGCCAGAGATTTTTCAGAGCTCCCCAGTGATCCCAGGTGTAGTACAGGTGGTGAGCTGCTCGGCTCCATGCAACAAGAGCACATCTGATGAAGGGCAAGGGGAATCCGGGCCAATGGGGCACTAGTCAATAAAGACAAGGACTGGCTATGAACATGAGACTTGCAGGTAATACATAGAGTTTTTGTTTTATTCTTAGAATGTTTATCTTTTCGTGTTTAGGTTTTTGCCTAAACATGGAGACTTGCTTTCATGTGTTCTCATTCAGCTGTTAGGTCTAGGCCAGAGGGAAGGGAGGTCAGCAAGTGACAGTTCTGAAAAGCCAGGTCTCACAGCTGGATAGAGCTCCTGGGACTGGGCCATGTGGACCCTAGTGCAGGCTGTCATTCACGTTAGCTCTCCAGGCTAGGCTTTCACTTCCTGGCCACAGGGTACTGATTTCCCCAAGCCTGTTGCTCACGTGCTTGGTGACGCTGCTCTGACCTCTCTGCCTAGTCCTTTGTGTCTCTTGCTATTTGCTTCACATCTCTAGTGTGTGTCCAGTCTGAGCAGCACCTCATGCCAGAATCTGCAGGCCCAGCTCAGGGGTCCCCCTTCGCCTTCTCTTATAAAGCAGAGGGAGTTCAGCCCAAAGTCTGCTGAGGGCCAGGCCACCTCAGTGTCAGAGGCTGTAGGTTAGGACAGGGATGGGACAAAACTCCAGACTGGGAGGCGGGTCTTTAATCTGAATCCAACCTTCTCTAATGCCAGAAGCCCCTGCGAGGTCAAGGTCAATGCTGTTCCAGCCCTGCCAGGACCCTGTCCCTCAAGGCCAAGTGGAAGTGCTGAGTCCATTTCACTCCAGCTTGGTGGAGTAGAGGTTAAAGTCTGAGGAACTCCGTAAACTTTAAAAACAGCCATTATTAGAAACCTTAGATAACCTTACAGTGTAATAAGTTACATTTGAAAAGCTATCAGATGCTGGCAGTTTATCACTTGCAGTTGTTTTGCTCTTGTCAGTGCTCTTGAGCCCGTTCGTCCACAGCCTCTGTGTTGTGGCCCTAATATTTAAACACATGCCAGTGCAAGTCTCTTTCCAACTCCATGTTTAGTGACATCACATGGGAGCTCGGGACTGGCTGGGATGAGCATGTCGGTAAAGTAGCAAGCACTGGACATCCGGGCTTTTCCCTTGAATGCTGCTCCTGCCTTTTACAGTGCTTTCAATCAGACACGTTGGACAGAGAGGACAGAACAAAGCACCCTTGTCTCTCTGTTTCCTGACCAGCCCTTGGCCCAGAGGGTCGTACTTGTGAACCTCTGAGTCAAGTAAGTGACTACTGTCTAAAGAAAGGTCTTGGTTGCAAGGACTGATGAGGTAGCTGCTTGGGAGGACCTTGCTGCAGGATCCTTGCTCTGTCTGTACCCTGGCTTACCTTGACATCTGGTGTTTACTCCAGGCAGGGATTTTAGGGTTGGGCAGTGGGAGGCCAAGGGTGGCTCCTAGAGACAGATGGGCAGAACGTCTGCTTTGGCACCATCCAGGGCATGGGCAGCCGTGGTCCGAGTAAGCACCACTGACCTGCAGGTGGCAGAGAGCCTGCCAGGTCAGCATGTGCTTGGCATTGGGAAGACAGGATCACAGCCAGCAGTGGCCACAAAGAGGACAAAACACCCATTGTGGACTCTTGTCATCTACAAGGGATCAGTGGCTGCCATCGGTTTTTTTGGGGGGGGGATGGAAATATAATTAATAAAGTACACATGTCTGTAAAGACAAGGCCTCACACAATATCCCAGCCATCTGAACTGTGTAGAGCCCCACAGGACAAGCAAGAGTAGAACGAGAAGTGTAGTCCTCCAGTGCGAGATAATCGAGGATGTTTAGACAGGAAAGAGCCAACAATTGGCACCTTCTTATGGTGTAAGCAAGAAAGTCTGTACACCCCTTCACCTGTCCGGAAAACACAGGTGACTTGAAGATGCATTTGGATACTTCTGCCTATGTGAAAACAGCATGTCTCACAACAGTGATTTGAGAGAAACCCTATTCGAGGGGCAGCCATATCCACCACACACCCCTACTCTGTCACCGTCCCTGAGAGTGAACTTGGGTGAATTATTCCAACGCTGCATGAGTGTCATGATTATAACAGGTTGCAGATTTGGAAAACACTAAATCTTTGTTCCTAATGGCAAAACATGTTTCTCTCATTTTCATCAGAATGTGTGATCCATGCCATTTGAAATCAAATTCCAAACACAATGAGCCATTAGTGTAATAGCTCATTACTAACAGTGGTCTTATAAATAATACATTCTTATCATGCACACACAGCTCGCCGTGAGGCCAGCAAAAGGTATTGCTGGCCATGGACATGTCCCTGAGCCAGCGCGGCTGTGGATTAGCAGGACATCTCCATGTGAACCAAGATGGATGCCAATTTTCCCTGCCGGGACCAAGGCTGGCCGTCTCCTTCTGCACATATGGTAGATGGATCGGTTAATCAGCGTCTGCTGAGTCTTGGGCCTAAAATTACAGAGAAGCCAGACAACTGCAGCGACAGAGCCTTTGTTCACCAGTGCAAACAAGACAAACAATCACTTGTTATTTGGGGGAAAAATTAAAATGTTTATTTTGGACTTTCATTAAAGTGTCAATGGCTTTACAAAACAGCTGTGTAAATCTGGCTTTTACAGCAAGTATCATTTTTGGGGGGTTCCTGTGAAGAAAAGAATATTCATGGAAAAATTAATTTTTAAAAAATTCCTCTTGGATTTCAGGACTAGGGAAAAAATAAAGAGCACCTCGAATTTATTTTTCAAACCCACGCTTGAGAACAAATGGCTTTTCATTGGAAGAAGAGAACAAATCATTTACTATCTAAATTCTTTTCTTTGCCATCTAAAAGATTAAGCATTCATATGGGTTGATTTTCTTGTTCAGGATATTAAAGCATTGGCTACTAGCTTTGGGCACTTAAGAAAAGACACTGTACCCCTCAGGGCAGGAAATCTGTGACAGTAGAGTTTTACTGTCCAAATGGGATTATCTCTCAAGAAATGAAGCCTGAATACTTGAAGGATGGGACACAGTTTGTACTGGTTTCTGTAAGAACAGCCAAAGTAAAAACAGCCAAAGTAAAACATTGATAATAGGAAACAGGGAGACAGTTCTCTTGGTTATGGGAAGAAGGCCAAGAGCCTGGGTGGGGTGGGCTGGGGTGGGGGGCATAAAATGGTTTAAGGTGGTTGTGGAAACATACCAGTGACCCACAGGCAATGTGGTCTTCCTATGGTGCGAACATGAACCAAATTATAATAATGAAACTGGCGAAAGGGGACCTAGAATTGGGAGGGAGGGGAAAGGGAATAGAAAGAATGAAGATTTGTTAAGTACATGAACCTACTCCCCAAGATGAATATAAACACTGTGTACCAAATAAAAAAGGTCAGAGGGTAATCAGCCAACTAGAATTTGCTTAAACCCCACTTCATAATCAGTAGGAATTTGGGGTGTAAAATGTAAAGGACTGTACATTTTTTCTCTTTAAATTTTAAATTCTCTCCTTGCAAGGAAGATAGGACACATGAAATTATTGGAAGGGCATAGTAAGGAATTTCAGTCACAGTCATCTGTCAGTACAGAATGTGGTAGAATTAGGATCTTTTGTTAATTTGTAACATTTTAGAACCAGTAAGAGGTCCATATCACCCAGTTGTTCAGCTTCTCTCTCAGCTGTGGACATGTCATCAAAGACTTCTGATTGTGGGGTTATTGGAAGAGCGATCCCTGTGTGTGTAGAGGAAAGGCACAGAAGACCTGGGTCTCTGATGGGATAGCAGGAGAAAGATCCCAGGAGGCAGGTGACATTGGTCAGGCAGGACTCTGGTTAAGGGCGAGGGCAGGTGTTAAGTTGCAACTGCATCTTGTCAAGAATTCTCAGACGACGTCCCTGAGCTCCTGGGTGCCCCAGGGTAACCAGAACATGTCTGAGGACACTCCTGGTACCACATGCCAGCCCCTTCTCCCAGGAGGCTGCATGGCAGTGTCACAGTGAGGTCCCATCTGCTGCAGTAACCAGGCTTCTGGGTGTCTCAGGTGGAAGGCGTGGCCGTCGGCTTCATGAGTGTGTGCTCCAGAGTGAATCTGCGGCTGCTGCATGAATGTTTCGACCTGGGGCCTTTCCACGGATTCTGCATCCCACACCCCGAAGATATCCTGGAGCCTCCCAAAGAACCCAGAAGCGCAGGTATGGTGGCTACTCAGGGGCCTTTTGGGGAGTAAGTTCACACCTTATGTACACAGTGCTGTTGGCCGTGGAATGGAGCCAGATAGGACATGTTTTGTCTCTGCCTTCAAATTTCCTCAAAAAACAATTCCCAGGGGCAGTGCCACCTATGCCTGATAGTGGGCTCTGATAGTGTATAGAAGTGACCAGTGTGGCCAGATACAGCTTTGCTTTGAGGCTCTGGAGAAAATTCCAAATGTGCTGTGAGCTACTGTTACAGTTTTTTTCATGAAAGTCTCAAGTTACAGGAAATATAATTTCTCTAAAATATGAACTAAAATTTGTGTTTCAAAGGAGTGCTTGTTGCTGTGCCTCGTGCCTTGTATTTTTGCTTAGCACTTTTTCCATTTCATTTTAGCCTTGTAACTTGGGAAGGTGACATTCTTTCCATTTTATCCCTGCCTCAGCTCATCCAAGGGTCTGAACCTCCTCAGGGACTGATCCAGGACCCAGACCCCCTCTCTCTGCCTCTGCCTCATGCATATTAGGCAGCCAGGCGTTCTACCACTGAGCTCCAACCCACCTCACGGCCAGCTTTGGCTTGGATGGCTTTAACCAAGACTTCCCATGACGGGTCTGCTGCCTGGATGCATGATCGGTTTGTTCATATTGGTCGTTTAGTGAACAGTCACTTCAGTGATTTATCAGAGACGCATTTGTATGTGTGTGTGTGCGTGTACATGTGCTGGATAACCTCCTCTTGTCAGAGTCTTCACCACTGTCTTTGAGGGCTTACCAAGTACTCTGCCCAATATGAAAGCACCTGGAGGCCACTCTGCCCAATATGAAAGACGAGCAGGAAGTTCATACTCTGGGAGCAGTCTTGCCTCTTCAGTTGGGCCATGCTTGCCTACTGGTCCTTCATCTGTCAATTTCCAGATAGATAGTTATACCTGAATCTTTGACTCAAGGGCTTTGTTAGGGAACCAAGATGAGCATTCTGCTGCCCTGGTCTTTTCCTGCCAGCCACAGAAGCACTTATTTTCTTTATACTACACAGATTGGAGTTAGAGTGTAAATACCCCATCTTCCTCATCCCTCAGGCGTTTAGGCTCTGAGGTAGGAGTTTGGGTTTGAGTTCCAGTTGCCCACGCAAAGCGTATTTTGTTGGTTGGCTTCCTTTTTCTGTTTCTCACTCTCCTCCTGGTGCTTCCTGGGATCATCTCCCAGATACATTGCTTGTTGCCAGATCTTTGGCTCGAATACTGTCTTTTACAAATTCACAGCAGCCTCAACCCTTCCAAGCAGAATGATGTCAAGCTTTAATGGTCTTCAGCTGATACAGTAGCTCTCCTCCTCTGGTTTTTTACATACTTTATGGTTACTTTACTGTCCAACATTTCAGTCTTATGCATTGCCATTGACTCTAAAATGTTTAATTAATTTAATGTTTAAATTAAAAGTTTAGTATGATTTGATGCACATTTAATTTTCCCTGATTGACAAAATCTGTTCATTTTGCACATGTAACATTACACTTTTATGAATTTTGTTTTTTTATATACTGAACCTAGGGTCTATGTTTTAACTCGTGGGAACAAGTTTTAACAATCCAGATTTTGTCCCAGATATTGAAAAACTAGTAAAAATGTATTTTTTATTTAGAGGAGAATTTCCTTTAGAAGTCATGAGTTTCTGAAATGTTTGAAGAATTCATGAAGAAATAGGAAAACATTCTGGGAAAAAAAAGGGCTTTCTGCTTGTGGGAGACGGTACTGAGGTATAAAACCCTTTAAATGTTGAGTCTCCAAAAATGTGCTGAGCCACATCAAGATGTTCCATATGCCTGGCAGTTAATGAATATTCTCCTCCAGTGACAATAAAATGGCTCAAAATAGTATGTTTCTCCATTTGGCCTCACTGCCAGCCCTAGGTGGCGTCTGCAAATCAAGCTGTGTCTTTTGTTAGCTGCCTCATCACAATAAAGATTTTGGAATCAGAATTGAGCTGGCAATTTTCTTGATGATGCATAAGGCAAAATAGGGCACAGCCTGTGTTTCCGCAGCTGTACTGGCATCGTCATGTTTAATAGTTAAAATAAAAAATAAAAACAAGCCAAAAAAAAAAGCCCCCAAACTTTTGTTCCTCATGTAAGCTGGCATGTTCTGGGCAGCACCAATCTGTTTTAGAAGACCCCTGTGAAGTTGGGGCTTGTAAGTCTTATTACGCACCTGGGGTCCACCTTACAAAATCTCTGCAGAACTTGATGTGCTCCTTGCTAGGGAGAAATTTAATTTTGTGTAACAGAATTGTGAGATTTCAAAAGGATAATTAGTCTAGCTCTTGTAGCCATGCCATCCAGGAGAAGTATTGCTTATTGTACATTAAAAGGTCCTTCAAAACAGTAATTTTGGTAACATCTCCATCTAAAACAGCAATGCTGACTTTAAAATTATTTTCAAAAAATTACTCCTGCGGTCAGGAAATGTTGCTTCATGTCTTATTTGGTTTCTTTTCATTCAGCTTACACATGCTTCTTGCCTCCATTTCTTTCCTGTGTCAGACTAGGAAATAGCTGTCTGTGCCCGCACTGGAAAACCATAGCTAAATTCAGCCTTATCTGTATTAAATACTCCCAAGCCTTTTAGCTTCTTTCAGTCTCTCGCCTTACAGTTTGCTTCATAGTCCTGATTTCTTCCTATTTCACTTTATTCTCCTATTAATGTGGATTCCAAATGTGAATGAAACAGTGATCTGCAGAACAGAGCAGTATTCCTAACCATGTGTTTACATTATGTATCTAGAGCATTAATCTTAGCACCCAGTGTGTTCTGTCATTACATAACTAATGACCCACTAGGATTCTGTATATATTTGCTAGAGCTGCTGTAGCAAAGTGCTATGGACAAGGAGACTTAGGTGACAGGAGTTTATTGTCTCCCTGTTGTGGGACTAGAAGTCTGAGATGCAAGTATTGCAGGGTTGATTTTTCCAGGCCTCTCCCCAGGTAGCAGAGTGCTACCTTCTCCCTCTTTCTTCATCTGATGTCTTGGTTCCTTTTCTTTTATTGCTGAGACAAAACACCTGACACCAAAAATAAAGAAAAGAAAGATTTATGTAGCTCACAGTTTATGGAGGTTTCAGTCTGTAATCAACTGGCTCCAAGGGAAGGTGACATAGCACTAGGGCACACCTCGAGGTGGCAGAAGACAGCAAAGCAGCCAAAGTGGGGAAGAGCCAACCTCTTTTTCTCCCTTATATTGTACACAGACCACCCCTCTCCAGGGCAGGTGTAGCACTCACAAAATCTCTGTGTCCTCCTCTTGCACAGGATCAGGATGTTTACAAAGTAAGGAACCTGACTCTCTACTGAGTCTCTTAGTTAAATTCTAAACTTTTCAAGTTGACACAATGTATCAACCACCGTAACACCTGGCTTCCTTCTACCTGTCCCTGGCCAAATGCCCTCTCCTATGATAGAAGGATAACAGACATACTGGATCAGGCCCACCCTGGTGACCTCATTTTACCCTACTTACCTTTTTAGCACTCATTCCCAAACAGTCACAATCAGAATTCCCAGGGGTTAAACTTCAGCTTATGAATTTGGGGGTGGGGCAGTGTCTTAGTTACTTTTCTCATTATTGAGACAAAATACTTGACACCCAATGTTAATTAAAAGAGGAAAGGTTTATTTTGGTTCACAGCTTATAGAGGTTTTAGTCCATAATTGGCTGACTCCAAGGTAGGGTGACATTGCAGAAGAAAAACAGTTCATAGTGGGCAGAAGGCAGCAAAATAGAGAAAGTAGCAAAGAAGCAACTGGCCATGACAGCAGGCCTCTTTCTGTCCCTTATCTTCTATACAGGCTACACACCCTCAGGGCAAGCAGCACTCACACACAGAATGGGCTTTCCCATTGTCCATACCTAGAAGTGTGCCAAACCAGTCAATGGACTAATTTAGTGTTATAGTCAGGGTTTGCAAGGAGAACAATTACGTACAAGATACAGAATGTATAGTATTGTTTTATGATGGTCACCCAGAGTTAAATACAAGGAAGTACAGGCAATCTGTCCACAATACTGAAGACCTAGAAAATCTAGCCAAAGGCCTGGATCCCACAGCAATGTCCTGCATGAGTACAGCTGAAGACCTAGAGCCCATGACAGTGCTTCCCATGAGTCCACCTGGATTTCTAGAGCCCACAACAATGACTCGTGTAAGTTTCTTTTACAGATCTGCACTGAAAAGGCCCAAATGTCAGTGGTAGAAGTTAGAAAGTCTGCCAGTAGGGTGAAGGACTTGTGTCAGTAGATTGAAGGTTCTGCACTGGAGCCAAGAAGTGATACTCAAAATAAGGACCAGGGCTCCCCTGAGAAGTACCACAGCCATCCTCAGTGGCAGGGAAGTCCTGATCTCCACCAGTAGTGAAAACAGTTGAGTTCATATCAGTAAGCCGTCGTGACAAGCTTCTCCTGGAAATTGAACAGCATACAGTTTCCCCTCTGGAGTCGGGAAGCAATGCTCAGTGTAAGGACCAGAGCTCCTCCAAAGTGAACTGCAGCCATTCTCATCTACAAGGTCCCAACCTCCTCTGATGAAAATAGTGGAATTCATATTGGGGAAGATAGCCATAACAAGCTTCTCCAGGAGAACCAATGACTCCAAACACTTGCGAGAATCCACAATGCCTCATTCTTTCTCTCCCTATCTCCCTTTATGTTGGCAACTTTTCCCAAGTGGGCTATCTATGTTAGTACCATACCGATTTATTTCAGCTGGTATTAAATTGATTACCAGCTTTTAATCCATAACATTTGATAATTATACACCCTTTATCCCAGCATCACACCCTTAATCTTCGCATCATACACCTATGAAAAGATCCAGCCACCTCTGCAAAGCCCTCCCCCCCGTGATACATCTACTTTGGGGAGACATTTAGAGACAAGTCATAACAGGCAGGCAGAGACACATTTCAGCCTATATGCATGAGAGGCTCCGTGTATCATCCTTCT